GCGGCGGCGATGAATTTGGGGCTAGGGTTCCTGGCGCTGAGGCTAGGGTTAGGGTCAGGGTTAGGGTTAGCGATGGCGGGGGTCATGATGGGGCGCTTGTGGGGGGTGGAGAGAGGGGAGGAAACATGGTGATGGCCAGGATTAGGGTTAGGGTTTGGATCGAGAGGGCTAGGGTTAGGGATGGAGATGCAGAGATCGGAGAAGACACCGATCTGAGCCTCGGATTTCTTGTGATGCATCTAACAACAGCAGCAGAAGAAGAAGGGATCGGTGCTGATCTCGCCCTCTCGCTTCTCGAATTCCTTCATTTCAAAGGAGAGATTTTTCCCCCCTATTCTAAAATTTGGGGGAAATTTGATTGATTAGGGTTGGGAGTTTTCGCTGTTCGTGAATTTTGTCGGGGATTCGAGGGACGAGAGTGACGGTGTTTTTCTTCGAGTGAGAGAGAGAGAGAGAGAGAGATGATTGTTTGATTAACGAGAATAATGGTTATTGTTATTGTTATTGCTACTTTCTTTTTTGCTTAATTGCACTTATACACCCTTCGTTGTTTTTGGCAGCATTTGAACTCCTAAAGTTTGTAAAATTTGCATTTAACTACCCCTAGCTACCCAAACACGACAATTTCCCCTCGAAATTCTTAGGTAACAAACTAACAATCGGATCCTATTTAGACCTTTTTAACTCTTGTTTTTTGTGTTGAACTATTAAAATTACTGCAATTTTATTTTAAATATATCTTAATTCTATTTTAAAATAGAACTTCGATAAGTTTAATAGTAAATATAACAAAATCTAAGGGTTGAAATATTCTAAAGTCAGCCTAATCAGAAATTTTCAAGATGAAATTCTTCTTTTTGTGTAACTATGGGAGTTAAAATGTAAATTTTTAGGGAAAAAATTTAAGTTATATAAGTGTTGCCAAAAAAAATTGAAGGTATATAAGTGCAAAGTAGGGGAAACCATAGGATATTAAGTGCAATTAAGACTTTCTTTAGATACACTCCCTGGTACGATATTGATTCTTGTATTATAGACCAAATATTAGTTTTCTGAATTTGTTATTGATAAATGTTTGAGAATTTTTATAACACCCGTGAACTGTCATTTTGATAATTCGAAACCATTGAGTTATTCTAGCGAATTCATCGCTAGAGTGATGCATTGCCGGCATAGTCACATACCATTTAGATTGCAGGGTGTGACCATTTTAATTATTACGGTCGAAGAGATAATAGTTAAACATATCATATCATATAATTTTTAAGGAAAAAAACAGTTATAGAAAACTTAGGATAAAATACAAGTCAACAAATAATAAAATAATTAAATTAATTATATTATAAAAACATTTAAAGAGTATATAAACTATAATACTCACCCAATGATTGAAACTGATTTAGGAGTAATTTCAAACTATTAAGTAAACAATTGCAAATAATTTGGGTCCAATTTTAATAAGCATTATCGCAAACAGACCCCTACAGCATCACCCAATTACGAATAGATCCTTTTAGTTCTATTTATTGTGAATAAACCTCGTTTAGTTCTATTTGTTATGCGTAGACCATTGTAGTTCTATGTACAACAAATAGAACTACAGGGGTAATAGAACTTCGGGAGGTCTATTGGTTGGCAATAAATAGAACTTTATGGAGTATATTTGCAATTGGGTATTACTAAGGGGTCCATGCACAATTAACTTTTAATAAAGCGTTCTAAAATTATTGAAGCTGCACACAGAGGAAGGGGCATATTCGTAAAATTCGGGCACCACCTTCGCTTCGCCGCTTCTCAATCGTCGCTCCCGCGGGAGGCGCTAGGCCGCGCACTTATTAAAAAGTGACAATGAAATAAAAATGAAAATAAAGCCTGTAACTTGTTTTGCTTTGGTACTCAACATATATTTTTAAATAAATTTTATAAGAAGATAAATATGGTACGCATACTTCTCTATCACTTCTTTCATCATACTGATTACTGAATACTTAGTCAAGGATCTTTAATTTTCTAAGGAAAATTTGTATTTAATAACTTATCAAGCATACTTGTCTATCACTTCTTTCATCACACTGGATACTTAGTTAAGGATCTTTAATTTTCTAAGAAAAATTTTATTGAATAACTTATCAACTCTTTGAATGACGAAAGGTCTAGCATATCACTTTGAAGGAAATTTTTAAGAATTGAATCTTGAAGCTATTCGCTAAAATTTCCTGTAGGATTAATTTATATTGTTATTTAGGGGTTTTTAGATATTAGTCGCTTATATTATACCAAAATTTTTCTATTAATCCCTCAAATCTTCATATTTTGATATTAGTCTCTCAAATATCATTAGCGTGTTGGTGTTGGTCCCTCTGTTAACTTTTCCATAAAAAAAACCTAGCCCTGGTTAAGTGAAGCTTAACCATATATGGTTAATTACCTAAGTACACTTACCCATTAAATCCCCCCAACCACTAGCAGAAATTGCTAATACGCTGACGGGAACATCCCTAACGAAAGCTGTCGTCAATGATGTTTACATCCCTAACGGTAAATGCTGTCAGAGATGTTCCTGTCACAAATGGGAACTGTCCGTCAGGGATGTGAACATCCCTGACGGGAATGCTAACGTCGCTGATAGGCGCGCCGTCAGCGATGTTAAAATATTTTGTCTCCCAAAATTTACCTTATCTTGAGTTTTTACCACACACCTGATATTTTCACCACACAGTACCAATACCCAACCGCTATCCACCCCTCCACCCCTGCTCGCACGCCGTTGCCGTCGATCCACTTCGTCACTAATCCACACCTGTCGTCGCTCCTGTCGTCGCCCCGCTGTCCGTCTCCATGCCACTAGTGCGTCGCTGTCTTGCTATCGGCCTCTCCGCCATCGTCCCCGATCTTCTCTAGGTATGATTTTTTCCAATTTCTTAGTTTTATTACAATTTTATGGGTTACGATTTGCTCCTATTTGAAATTTTAAAATAGAAAAACATGATTCAACCCTAATTAAAATGATCTACCCAAATTGATCATCACCATCCCCAATAGCATTATCCTAAGCATAAAACCCTAATTAAGCTAACTTTAATTTTTAGTTCACTCTAATCCCACATCTAATACTAATTCAATTTTGGTAACCCTAACCCTGACTTTAGTTCTCATCAAAATCTAACCAATTAAATTTATCTACCCAAGTGTATAACCCTAGTTTAAGGAACTTTAATCCAAAATTTAGAATTTTCCTATCTCTAATTAACTAATTTAACTTTAATAACTTTTATCCTAATTCTAATAACTCAATTAAATTAATTTACGCAAAAAAATCCTAATTGTAATACTAACCCTAATCACATTATCATATGTATGGAACCCTAATTCAACTAACTTTAACCTTTTTCTTACACTAATTGTCACGCTTCGCTTCCCAAAATACCAGGGAATCAGAACGTGAACAAACCCACGACGTATTAGATTGAGAAGAAATATACACTACCATTTTTTGTCTTCTTTTCTTTTCTTCTCAATCCAATACGCGAAGCGTCTAGAAATAAATACAATGCGAAGTCACAGGTCCCCGATCACAATCAGCAAGAATATAATAAACAACACAGAATAAAATAATAGATATCACAAATGAATATTCATCCCAAACATAATATTTGGGTCAACATGCCCTTATACAAAACTATCTGAATGAAATACTGGAGAATATAAAAATACACTGATCAAATAGAAATAAAAGGTAGTACAAAAGAAAACTGAGGACCAATAACTAAGCTTTAGCTTCTTCTTCTGCTCCATCCGCTAGGCACTCCTGCTGAGAATCCTCTGACTCCTGATGATCTCCCAGCTGAACCTGTTCTTCCTCTAAGTATGATGTATACCAGAGAAAACAGGTGTACGTCAGCGTGTATGGCATACAGCAAGACCCGACCCCACAAAGAAAATAGAACGAACGGAAATCCAATGTGAAAAACGATACGATAACAGAAACAACAAAAGAACATACAATTGAAATCCACAAATCAGCATGAAAACACTACTAAATCATGATAACATAAAGCATTCAGAATCGATCAGGTAACGAGATCATGTAGCTAGCGATCAGTCTAATCATCCAAGTAACAGGGGCATACAGTAGATAGAATTAATACCTAAAAATCTATAACATGAGACGTAGTACGTCGAGCAAAATAATCCAAACAAGGAAACCCTCATGTATATACCATATGTCTCAAATTGTAAATAAATAAATATTAATCCCGATCTATGTATGAAAAGAACAACACTGGTCTACACCTCAACAAAACTAACAAAGTCCACCACAAGTCACGCAAGCATATTATTCTTGTTTTACATGTTATTTGAATTGGGGAAGAATATTTTTATGTATATAACCAGGTCCCCGTAAAGTCATCCGGGGCCGCCTTCAAGTCAAGTATTGGCCCTCTGGCCCATGTACATAACACTCACGATATCACGATAACAAGAAAGCGTTGTGCCCGTTTATATACATGCTATATTCTCTGTTCAATTCCCCTTTATAACCTCATGTTATCAAATTAATTAAGCAACTATACATGAAATATCGTGCACTAGCCACGGAGTTACTGTGGAACAACTTCTGTAAAACTATAAAAATAACACTGATCCACAACATGTCCGATCAAGAGTGCATCGTCTAGTCGATGCTATAATAGTAATAGTCAAGGAAACCTCATACCGGGATATCGATATCAAGGGAACTATGGACTCCTCACATCGGGATATCGATGTCGAGTGAGTATAGCCATGCTTTGAAGCACGCTTACAAATCATACTTTTAACAGAAGTTGTCTTCATGTACAGTCTCTCCTATAGGATAACAACTAGGTGATAACAACGAGCTTCCACACATCTATTCATGTCAAGCAATCCCACGCAGGTAATAATATATCACAAACTAATTTAATTAATTAACTCATAACAGATCTAGAAATTGAATTGTGAGTTAATAAGTAATGGAATCTTGCTGCTAATAAACATACGATAAATCTAAAATTTATAATAATTAAACAACCGGGGATAGGGATCTTGCCTGCGAGGCCAGGGGGCCTAATGACGAGGCAGCGATCTGCTGTGGATGCAGTACGATGGTCTAAAAGGGAGCAGCGGATCTGATCGACGCGGTTGTAGGGGACGACGTCGGGAAGAGCTCCGGCGTGGGACTGCGGCAACGGGGCAGTGACGAACTCAGTAGCGACGACGTGGGCTGCTGGACAGAAGATGTTGGAGATCAGGCCACGACAAGCTCGGGTAGCGATGGATCTGGCGGACGTGGGTTCGGAGTTCGTCGGTGTGCAGCGCGGGTCGTCGGCTGCAGCGCGTGGCTTTGGGACAGGCAACCCACCGAGTCTGCAAGCCGGGGAAGGGAGGGCAGCCAATGGGGAGGCTGGCGAGAGAGCCTGGCGTGGGCCACCGCGTCGTGAGGGGAGGAGGCTGTGGCTCTGTCGGGCAGGAGTCTGCGACCCCACCACTGCGGTGCCCCCGGTGTGGGTCTTCGGCAAGACCGCGGGCCTAACCGCGATCCTTGGCGTGACTGCAGGGGTTGAACCCACCCGGAGGTGAGAGGCCGGCCTCGGAAGCTCTTGGTCACCACAGCGAGGAGCCCCACCGTCCCGGCTCCCTCGCGGTTGAAGCCTCCCGCGCTGGGAAGAGGGTCGGCTTAGCGCACCTCCTAATGAGAGGCTCGGCGTTCGAAAGAGCGCGGACGGCCCGCGCGCCCATGGGGTTTCGTTGCGGTGGCTGCGCACGCCGCCCGTGGGAGGGTTTGTCGAAGGGATGGGAGATGATAGGAAGAGAGAGAAGATGATGGATTGTGGCGGGGCTGAAGTTCTTGAACAGAGAGAGTGTTATCATATATATGTTATAGTATATATATATTATCTATATATAATATATAATACTATAGTATATATAGTATATAGGATTATAATTAGGGTTTAGAGTTAACACCATCAAATGAATTAAAATATAACTACGATTATCGTATTCTAAAAAAATTAATACTAATTACGAAATTTACATTATCTTCAATTACAAAAACCGCTACGATGTTGCTGCTAATACAACAGTTGATACGAAATAGTCGAAATATACCCATATTGTACAATTAAACGAGAATAATTAATAAATAAAATATATTTACTTATATTTAAAATCAAATAATTATGGGATAATTATATACACAGTAAAATGTACAAGTTATACTAATATGACAGATAATATGTAACAATAGAAATAATACAGCAAATTATACAAATAATACGTATTTAATAACACAACGTATTATATGAAAATATACATAATAATAAAAATAATACAACATATTATTCAAAATGACATGTAACAGCATCGATAACGCAACAGATAAATTTCATAAATTTTTGGCGCATAAAATTAATTTATAAATATTAATATCATTTAAATAAATATAAAACTTAGACTTTAAATCATAGAAAATTGTAGAAATTCAAGAAAAATACAAGTACTCTTTTAAAAATCATAATTAAATATTTTAAAATACTAAAAATTTATTTTAACTAGTATCAAAATTCATGATCCTTACACTAATTCCATACAATAATATTAATTAAACTTTAGTCAGCCTATTCCTAATCTAATAACCCTAATTGAACAAATCTAATTAAAAATAGTCCTAATTCATTACCCAAGTCAATGACCCGCCTAATTCAACTAACTTTTACTCAAATTTGACCTTAATCCAAAATATAATTAATTAATTAATTTAAATTTAATAACTCTAATCCTAACTCTATGAACTACCTACCGAAAATAATCCTAATACTAAATCTAATTACATTAACCCTAAGTCTAGAACCCTAATTAAACTAATTTTAAAGTTAATATGATCAACAAAGTAACTTAACCTTAAGCACCCTCATCCTTTTAAATGTAAAAACTCTCAAGAACTTAATTTAACCACTAAGTTCATAATCCTAACCCAAAAAACATCACCCTAAGTGTAGAATCCTTAACAAACTGAGGTTAACCATTAATCCTAAATTTAATTAAACTATTTTTTACTTTAAACCAACTTTAGTCATTAGTCCTAACTAACCCTATTAAATATTACTATAAAGTTATTAAATAAAAATAAGCCTAATGTTAATAATATTATATGAATCTAGTTTATCATCCTAACTAAACTAACTTTAGTCATATTATCATTTTAATCCAATTCAAAGTAAACTGGACTTTATCCTTAAATTACACTAATTCAATCATGATTATATTACCATAAGTTTAAGGCTCTAACTAAACTAAGTTTATCATCTACTTGAAATCAACATAACCCTAATCAAACTAATTAAATAATGATTGTTCTGATAAATCTTTATGATGTTGTTGATGCATTCAATCTAGCACTGCTAGAAAATGGGTTATTGGCTACGGAAATTTAGCGACGGATTTTCCGTCGCTATATAACCGTCGGTAATATTTAGCGACGGATAGTCCGTCGCTAAATGTCGCTTTACCTACCCTTATAATAGTGACGGCTTTTTAGCGACGGAATTCCTTTTTTTCCGTCGCTAAAACATTTAGCGACAGATTTTCGACTTTTGACGACGGATTTGTCCATCGTCAATAGCCCCCTTTGCAGTAGTGTAGTTAGATATATAACATTATATTTTGTTATATATCATGATTATATGAATCGAAGTCATTACTCCTAATTTCTCATCTAATAATGTTGAATGTCAATCTCTTCTAACATAAACGCATGTAATTCTAGTTGGGTGTGAAACTAATTTTTTTTATATAAAGAGAATAACATGCTTTATGTTAGGAGCATAATCTACATACAATAGTTATTAGATCTGTCCGG